AATGTTTAATGCATTAGTATAATGGTTATCAATAATTGCAATTTTGTTTTGTACTGGGTAGTATTTAATAATTAATACAAGACATATTTAGGTAAATTACTCTGAACACTTTAGATATATGGTGGTTCATAAGCAAAATATGCTAGTTTTAAACCAGCAGAAAGCTATCTACATTTGCACTTGAACTGTACTTCTAAGAACACCTTGTTTAAAGTACTGTAAAATATTTTATTTTCGCTTGGAACTAATTTCTGCTATTTTCGCTGAAGGGATGATTCAGTGAAAATAAAATCCAGCCAATATACATTTTTTTCCATTCATCTTGTCAAAAATCAGTGAAAATAAAATCCATACAAAACACTTAAAAAGTGTTTTCAGGGAAAAATTTATTGCAGCTAAAATAAAGTACCGTTATTCTACAGTATTTGTTAGGCCAGACTTTTTTTATTCCTTGTTTCGCGAGTTTTTATAAGGCAATTTTTTTGAGGAGGGCGGAAAAAATTAATTCTTTTTTTCCATTAGATTTGTGTGAGTCTCAAAGAATTGTGAGGTCATTGATTAGAGAGAAGAAATGAAATACAATTTTATTCCATGTATAACCTTGTTTCTCATCTGCGCGAGATTTCAGTACTTTGATCATGATACTCTCTCTCTCAACTTGGATTTGTTAAGGGACAGGCAGTAAAAAAATGAAGATAAAAATAATATTTTTTCAGCATTTTTTGCACTTACAAGTCGGTGGGCGCAAGAAATTACGCTGAAATAAAACTATATTTTTATTTCATTTTCGGCTCCTGTTCATTCTGCGGGTTCGCGAAACAAGGGCTAATAAAAGTCTGGCCTTAGGATAATAAGTCGCCAAGGGATTTTTGTTTGTTCCCATGCTATGTTTCAAAGCTGAAAGTGTGCATAACTTTTCATCTAACAAGTATTTTTAATTTTCATAATAAAATAGAGCAGTATCTGTTTATTAAGATGCTTCTCTACTTTATTTATATAATAAATATTTTTAGTAAATAGTTATATATTTTTTGTTAGATTGTATACCCAAGCAATGTGCAAGAAACATCAGCATTTGTTTTTCAAAACGGTTTTGAGAAAATGAGTTACTGTGACAGGTAAGTATTAGAACAACTGAAAGATAAATTGAATTCATATTCAACTCGTAATTTAGTCACGTTATCCATGTTGAGGGTACATGCATTGAATTTCCACAAAATGGCATGAACTATAATCTACAAAAGTTTTGTTTTGCCACAGTAGTGACACGTAACATAACCTTTAGTCTGGTTACTTGTCTAGCAATGTTTCCTAGACACTTTAACCTTCACTGAGAAACTTAGGTTCTTCAAGAGAGAATTTTGCTCAAAATAATGGTCTAACACCATACATAACATACGCTTGGCCATTATGCTATGGTAAATCACTTTAATTAAATATTCATGATTTTTGCATGTCAATGAATATTGAATTTTTCTGGGGTGTCCTCTCGACACAGTGTCAGTAATGAAATCGCGAACATTTCCATCAGTGAAAATTGAACGATTTACACACAGTCAGCTGGCGTACACATGATAATAAAATAAATACGATATTTACTATATGGGGGCCGCCATCTTGAATGCAGCATAAAACTAAATAGGAGACAAGTTGTGAAATGCGTTTTTCAGATCCCGTTGAGGTTATATTAAGCCAACTGATAACGAAATTCGGTTGAATTCAGCGCTTTTGTGTGGAAAAATTCCTTGCATACGAGCACCTAATTACACGAAGAACATAGAACACTTTCTCTGGGGTATTTGAAACCGAAATTATCATCTGACTGATTGGCTGCTGAGCTGGAATTACAATTTTCGTATTTATTTTAGTATCACGTGTGCGCCAGTTGACTGTGGATTTACAGTATATACTTAGTATATATATATATATAAATACATGTATACTCTTTTCTTATTTATTATTACTGTTGTTTTATTAATCACATAGCAAGTTTTATACCAGACAGTACATGTTTCATAATGAAGATCCGGTGTTTGGAAAAGTCGCTTGGAACTCCAGGGTAAGGCAGTTTGCTCTCGAGTAATTTTTGACATGCACTGTAATCATTACAGTCATATTTGAATACACTAACAAAATAAGCTACGACCGGTAGTAGTTATTGAGGGTAAAATGTTGCATATTATTGAATAAACAAAATTACGATCAGCTAAGCTAGAATTCCTGACTTAGATTTGCATTGTTTCAACAGATCATGAGTAGATTTTGTGAGGTCAGTGACGTTAATCCAAAAACACAAGGTAAGGCACCTTCATCAGTTAATCCACTGGGACAAATAAATATAACAATACTTGAGTCGTTCAGCACAGAGTAATTGAATTGTCAACTTTGATGTCGATCAACCTCAGATTACATTTACACTCATTCTGTTTTATTCTTCTGGAGGGATTTACAAATCTATGAGGGAAGTTAACAATCTACCAGCGATAAAATAACCTAAATAAATGTGATATCTTGTTTGGATACACTATCTGTGACTGGTGTTCTGATAACTTAATGCTGAACTCATATTTATCTATTTTATACTACACATTTGAAGCTTGAAGCTTTAAAAATGAAATTATAATTTTTGTTTAAAACTGTTTCTGTTCCAAAAAGCAAACATGCGTCAGTGTTTTTTTAAGGTCTCTTTAAGAATTTTAGAAATAATAATAACTTTTAATGACACTTTCAGAACAAAAAACAAAACACGTGTGTCGATTTTAGAAAACAGATTGGCACACATTTTATTTGTTACATGTTGACAATGGAAAAAAAAAAAAACCTTGATAACAAATAAATGGTAGAGGGGGTGCCTAAAACTCTAGTATGTTTCCTGAAATTTTCTTATAAGGGTTACTTTCACCGAGACATTACAGTATTTATCAGCAAGTTTAATCACCAGTAGTATATAAAATCTTTCTGGATTGTCTACCATATTGTTAAGTCCACATTGATATAATTAAATTAACCCATGACATGCATTCTTCTCCATTTAGCTGCACGTAAGTTTGGTTGGTTGTTTGTGGGTAGCTTTGATCTCAGTTGCAACAGTTGGGGTGAAGTCAGTGTCAAAGACAGAGGAGTCTGTATCTGGTCATACCAGTCATATGAACTTGGAGTACTTCACATTCCACAAAAAGTCAACACACCAGAAGGTAACTATATCACATTGATAAACAGGTGATAGAAAATGTATGATTACTTATGAGTAATTTAGAATTTTTCTGCTATGAATAGCGCCCTCTATTGGCCAATTCTCAGATTTCAGATGTTTTCAGGGTTGAAAGTTATAATCACAATAGAGATGCACTGCTATATTTTACTCAAAAAATTTGTTTAAAGACATGACTTTCTATAACTATTCAATTTCTGCAACTGTATATAACCCAACTTTCATATTTGTTGAATTTTTGCCCTAAAAAATTTGACTTATTGTTATCTTGTACTCTGAAAACCTGACCGTTTTCCAGAAACAATTATTTAAAAGTGTTTTTATCGTAATTCTTTTAATAACTTGTGTTTTAGGCCCACAGTTGTGGTCTCCAGATTTTTCCACCATTGTACTACCATATAACGAGACAACTCTGGTAAAATACCCACAATATGCCTATCCCATCATGCAACGACCGGATTCACATCATCCTCAACTCGTAGGAAGACTTTTCTTCAAAGGCAGTACCGTTTTTATACAAGATACATTTCCAAGGAACAAGCAAGAGGAAGATTTCATCGGGTGAATTATTCGCATGTTAATCATATTTGCTATATACATGTATATATTTCAAAATTTAAGTATTGATGATCTTTTCATTGAAATTCTCTCCAGTTGTGACAAGTTTGTCCTAATTTTGCTTTGTATTTTAGATCTGTTTTAGTTTTGTAGTAATGTCTTTTGCTCTTTTGGATATTACCTTACTTTTGTTTGTGTACGTTCCAAATAAAATATCATATCATACATACATGTTTGTATCTCATATCATATCATATATCATATCTCATCTAATGTCTCGTATATCATATATCATCTTGTATATAGCTGGTGAGAAATTCCTACAAGCAGAATTACTCTGATTTTATCTGATAAGTTAATATTAACTTTTCTGTACTTGTCCTTGTCTTATAGAGATCCTCAGCTGAACAAGAACAATTGGAATGCTGCTCGAGCTTCGTGTTATCATGACACGCCCGCCCGATTACGACAAACTACTATAAACAAATGTCCTGGCTTTGTGCCGGAGATTGGATCACTGATTGTATTCCATGTTTCTCCGCCATCAATGAATCCTTTCCAGTCTGGTAGACGATCAAAGAGTCAACAAGGACTTAATGTACTATGGATTTGTGACTATATGTATCCTGAAAGGTGAGTACAGTTAATGATTTCACTTTCTGTTTTCATGATTCATTAATATAATAACATTTGACTGCTATCTTGGATTCTAATGTAATGTTTACTTCTACAAAACCTGTTTTACACAATTCTTTTGCAAAAATAAATCAGTTGAAAATAGTTGAATTGATTGTTATGATTACATCACATCAAATTTTGCAAATATTTAGTTTGATGGTATGAATATCCAGAATCATAAAAAATCGTTAAAAGGGTTAATTATTCACTGGGTTTTAATTTTGCTTATTTCGCTGATTGGAAAAAGCACTAAATTAAAACCCAGTGAATATGTAAAATTTGGGATAGAACACATTATGTAAATGATAAAACTGTGAATTTAAACCCAGTGAATATGCCTGAATGTAAATTAGTGAAATTTAAACCCAGTGAAAATTAGTCATTTTACAGTAGCTATACAATAAACCATAGACCCTCTCTGTTAAAGGGTCTATGATCGCAATGAGTTTTAATTTGACAAATATTCAAGTGCAAATGCAATTGTGTCACTTCCAATGCCATCCATGTCATTACAGATGCCATATATGTAAAGAAAACAAACTTTGAAAGGTTTGAATGCGTGATTTTATGCCACAGTCCTGGCGCGTTTCAACCCTTGGGATATTTTACTAGGGTGTGTCTACAATGCGCGTTAAAATTTGCATATAACATTAGCGCGTAACAAAGTTGTGATGAAGGAAAGAGTGGTATAAACAAAGATCAGTGATTACTTGAAATCGATACCAGGAAAAGGGGGTAAAAGAAAAGTTATATAACATTTTATTATTTAATAATTTATTAAAATACATAAGTTTGTCCAACTCCCTGTGGTCTAGAATAGAAGAAAACCCATCTTAATTACTAGATGAGATGCATAAAAATTTTATCATGCTTGTATCTTGATTTTATGATGTAAAACTACTGTAATATGGGATGATACACCAAATATCTTTTTAAAAAATGCAAAATAGAAGATAGATATGCTTTAATACACCATCCTTGAAGCAAATCATGCATATTGATTAGTTCATTTGAATATTTGTTTGTGAAATGTTTCATTTTTATCAGGCATGAAAAAACAGAAATGGAAAACGGAGAATCAAAAGATGATCTCTGTATGAATTTCGCACAGTTGCCTCTGTCCGATGGTCCCAATGGGGCTGATGCTCCTACTGAAATTCCGAAGCAAACAAACCAGCCCACTATGTAAGTAAAGTATTTGGTTTCCATTGTTGTCCTTCTTGTATCCATCTTGAAATGACCAAATGTAAACCGATTCTTAAAGGCATGTTTTGTTTTTATTATGAATACATAATAGATCAGATTGCTTTCATGTGCGACAAACATCATTGCTCTTTTAGCTGCACATTATACCAAACACAGGACAATAGAAGGGTTTTGCACCAGGCTCATAGATATTACCGTAAAAATCATATTTGAGACCGCAGCTTTAATAGAAGCCGCACCCCTAACTTGAGACATTGTTAGTCCCCGTTCGAACGTACCGGGGGGTAGTCCGAAAACGGGGACTTACGTCTTGCCCTGTGTGCGTCCGTGCTTCTGAGCGTCCGTGATCACCTGTATCTCGAACATGCATGGACCGATTAAGTTCAAACTTCACTCATACATCACACATTATATGGGACATATGCACATGCAATTTTTTCATGATCTGATTAACGATAGCCGAATAGCGGCCATTTTAAGGCCGAAAATGCATCAAAATCGCACATTTTCACCATTCCGGATCTCAGTTATGCATGGACAGATTTTGATCAAATTTGGTACATACATTAAACATAATAGGACCTTGATATGCACGTCATTTTTTTGGGGGGATCGGGTTTGAAATGGCCGACTGGCGGCCATTTTGTTTTAAAGAATTTAGTTTTCGATCCATATCTCGGACATGCCTGGACAGATCAAGTTCAAACTTCACATACACATCATACATTATATCATACACATGCCTGCGCATTTGGACCAGTCCTTTTAAGGTCAAAAATTCGTCAAAATTGCACATATTCACCATGGGTGAATTTAGTTCACACTTCATGCATACATTGTACATTAATGGTACCTTGAATCACGTTGTTTTGTTTTCCAAATCGGGTTTCAACTGAATACAGTTCAGCATCCATATCTCAGACATGCCTGAACCGATCAAGACCACACTTCACACACATCATACAATGTGTTGTACATATGCAGGTGCATTTCGGATAAAAATGCAAGAAATTATATTTTCCCATCACATAACCTTGTTTCTTTAAATTTCATAATAGTATGAAGAAGATGATACATATATACTATTAAATTATGCCCAAACCACCTTAAATATTAGGTTGACCTGTAACGTTAGCTTTGCTTCTCACTATTTGATTATTGCTAATGACTGAGCCTTTATTCTGTGAGGAAACTTGTGTTCTATTCGGGCCACTTGATACCATTTATAGTGTTGTTGTGATAGTGACAAATTTTTTTTTTTTTTGTGGGAAGATAGAATGCACCTTTCTAGTTCTAGCTCTAGCGACAAAGCACTTCTGTGTTGTCAAAATGTGGTTAGGTGTAAGTAATGTCATTCAAATCGACAACTGTGGTTGTGTGTCTTTGCGCCTCATAAGTGTATTGTCATTTGAATGGCGCGATGTCCAGTTGCAAAACCATCACATTTATGAAAGTCTATTTAACATCACATATGTTCCACATACAGGGTTAGATACACTGGAATGAAAGTGATCGGGTTGGAAGCTGATCCGTACACGCTAACAATATCGTCACCTGGTGCATTTGAAGTGAAAAGACCTGAACGTAGAGACGTCTTCTTAAAGAAAATGCTGTATAATATCCATGGTGTAGACGTCACAAAGCCAAGCGTACAGGCGCAGAGACGCTTACGTAGAGCACGGGCACTTCTTGTGTCAACTAAGAAAAAAATGTTGGACGTAAAAACAGCTGGTGGTTTGGACAGGAAAAATTAAAGAAAATTTTCATTTGTTGCATGCATAACCAATATTGTTTTGTCTTGACAAAGTTGCTTTATTTTGATGTTGTCAAGTACTGGTGATGATTTGTAATGTTGATCACTTTTCCCAAAATAAACCTGCAAATTTTGATCAAAAGTGTAGTGGATGGAAAATCATTTTCATTTGGATGAAAATTTACAAAAATGTGCAAATTATTGCACCAAAAATAGGTCACTGTATTTTCAGTTTGCTTATTTCAATGAATACATGTTGCTTTCTTGTCTGATCTTAGTCTTAGGATTTGAAACACTGGATTTTTGCTGTGTTAAGCAAAAACTTCCAAAATATTCTAGAATGTGAGAAACCTTTTAATGAAATCTTTTTCATTTTATTATCATAATTCAATAGATTTTTGTATCCCTTTATTTAGCAGGAGACGCATTTTCTAGTTGCTATCTCGCGAGTACCAGTATATACACACCTTTGTTTATTTCTAAGTAGAAAGTCGAGTTAATTTAATGATCAATAGGTAATGATCAAAAGAAAACCTAGTTGATAACATTACCAAATCACTCTGTTCAATACAAAACTGAACTGACACCAGTACTGATATTATAAAGAACGTTGCATCAATATTTATGATGCCCCAGATGCTCACCAAATAAAGAAGATTGCATTATGGTAACCTAGCAACAAAAAAACAACATTCGTCTTTCAGTTTGCATCATGTACAAGCATTGGACATTTGATAAATGATATATTGTAGCCTTTTCAATTTTGAAAAATGGCGGAAGAATCTATTTGACTCGTATAGGATAGTAAAATACCACGATTACTATAAAACTATTCAGATAAGTTGAGTTTTAAAAACTAGTGTTGAATTTAGAATCTTTACAAAGTACATTCAATTGATTTCATCGCATGTTTTGTTGCTATAACAACTTTCTGTTGACTTATTCACTGCTTCTTTATTGCCAGTATCTGTGGCATGAAGCTATTAACCAAAAGTAAAGTATTGAATTGGTTATTATGTCGTCTGTCTACTTGCATTTATCAGTTTGAGTGCAACA